TTGCTAATAGTAGCTAACATTAATTGAAATCTTATCTTGAGAGTGCTTGCTTCAAATATTCCAGGTGCTGGCTAAGTATTTCTCTTTTGGCATTATCTCATCTAATCCACTTAGCCTACACTATTATTTATTTCCACCCCATGGATGAGGACAGCAAAGGGGTTAAGTGATTTGCCCAGGACCTCACAGTAAGTGATAGACCTGGGATTGAATCCCAGATCTGTTTGAATAAAGGTCCTGTGCTCATATGCCTTTGTATTATAATAGTTCAGCAGCCAGTTTCCCCATCTCTATGCCATGCATAGAATAATCAGAAACACTGGTTTGGTCAGGAGTTCAGATACTTTGACAAGTAGTTGAAGTTAGGAGGCAGAGGGGTGGTGGTACAGCCCAAGATTAACATTACGAATAAAACCAATCAACAAACAAAACATACTGGGTAAGTGACTTTTTTAGAATTGTTAGTTCCAGTTCATGGAGTAAACAATATTCTTAGGTTGTAAAAAAAAGAACATTCTAAAAATAGGTTTATTAAAGTTAGTTGATACTTTGCAATATTTCAAAATGGTTTTGCAGAGCAAGTCGGATAATGGTTCTCTCTCACTTCTTACTAAAAATGAGCATATGAAAAATTGTCTAGTTTGGATAATAGAAATATTTTATATTCTGCATACATCTATAAGAATAATTGTATATGTCACAAAAAGAAATTTAAGAAGTTTTGTGTTGAAGAATTTTGTTTGACTTCTTTTAAATAAACTGAAGAAGAATGAAAAAAACACCTCTTAAAGTACTTCTGTCACACCTTTATTTCTTTGTAACTTAAACTTCTGTAAGAATAATAATACATGAAAGAAAAAGTCTTTAAAAACACATTTGATTAACATTTCTTTTATAATACAAGTACATACTATAATGATAAATTACACATATCTATATATCCACATTTGATTTTTTCAATAGCAGAAACATTTCTAACAATTTATTATCTCTTGAGTGTAATTACTGAAGTCGTTTTGGAATCAGATAGTTTATTAAATTTCTGAACATGGAATTTCAGACTGCTTCAAACATCAATGGCTGACAGGTCCTCGGGAAGAATGAGTTTTCAGAGGTGCCAACTAGATATTATTATAAGATACACATTCTCAGCAACAGCAGCATTAGCAAACAGGCAGGAACAGTCTATTGCACGTTATGTTCCAGCATCATCGCTCAGCTGCCAATGCTGATCACATAGAACAGGTTCCTTTGCAGAAAAAATGCTTTGAAGCATGAAGGATTCTTTGAAGAAGAACAGATGCCCAAAGGCAGTACTCATACCCATCAACCACAGTTCAAAAACAAAAACAAAAAACACCCCAAAGTATAAACCAAGATTTTTACACTGAAGAAATATAGTTATAACTTCTGCTCTTGAGAGCCATTATTAAAATATGTACGTTATTTTGGGCCAAGGAAAATCTGCTGATCCCTCCATATACTGACTGCTGTGAGTGCCCATCTTGAATTCTATTCTCCAAGACAGTGGGACAGATTTAAAAGTCTGATGACAAAGTCCACTGGCTAACATACCTTCTTGGATAAGCCTTGTTTAAATTCTATTCTATGAAATATTGTATCCACTAGGTTATGAGCTCTATGAGGTGACAGATTTTTTAAAGCATTTTGTTCATTGATATAGCCCCAGCACCTAAGGTACTTGGCACTTAGTAGGTACAAAATAAATATTTTTAAATAAATTCATAACAAAATGATTTTTTTATTCATAACAAAGTGCAAGCAAGACTATATTAAAATAGAGATTGTGTTAAGGCAATAGTTTGGTCTCAAAGCCATGGGCACTGAAATATGTCCTGAACCTCCTTTGCAGAATTTTGCACAAACTAGGGCCTTAGCCAAGCAGCAAATTATCTGACCCAGAACATTTTGCTCCACACTCTATGTCACTTGCTTATTTCATGAGCAATGATATGAAGTGGAAAATGTGAAAGGCCCAAATGATTTACTTCTAGAAAGAAATATAAAGCTCTCTCCCATCACAGCTCATCACTTAATAATGTAACGTCACGGGAACAGGTGACATCTTGACTCACAGCTCACATGCCTGTATCCTTTACTCCATCTGCCCAGGATATTCTGGAACAAGGTACAAACCTTGATTCCTTCCATTTTTTTTATCTCCTTGCAACAACATCTGTTGGTCCTTCCACTGATAGAACTTGAGACATTCTGAGGAATTTGACAAGGATCCAAGAAATATCTGCCCCTACCCAGGAGACAGTCCAGTACAGATATAATCGCCTTCAGGAGTCTTCACTGACTCCTTCCAAGCTGCCTTAATCATTCTCTTCTCTGATCCCATAATACTGTCTGCCTCTTTTTTCCCTATGCTTTTAAGTTTATCTTTATTGCTGAAAGTATTATAGAGGTTCCTCCTTTCCCCCCTCCCTGACCCCCTTCACCCTGCTCCTGCCCCCTCTCCAGGGCTTCAGCCCATTTTAGAGAACCAAAGTGAATGGAGATGATCAGTGAGTAGCTGTTCCTCCCACTAAACTGTAAGATTCATCAGGGGTCTTATTTCTCCTTAGTTTTTGTCATTGTAGGGATCACAGTGCATAGGATATAGTAGGTGCCTAGTCAACGCTCGCTGAGTTCCCTGCTCCCTCTCTATGCTCTGCAATTGGCATCTTAAATGCTTATGTGAAAGTAGAATATTGTTGCTAGAAATGTTCCTCTAATACAATTGATAGCACTATGTGAAAACCATAATTTGATATTCTGTTTGATAGAGGGTGTTATTTCTGCTTTAAGAAACTATTGTACACAACTCCATGATGCACTAAAATTAGGATCTCTGTTTCAGGTTACAGAAACCCAAATAGCATATCAAGTGAGGAATTTATTATAAAGATAATATGTCTCATAGAGGCAACAGATAAGAACAGATGAGGCTAAACTTTGAGAATACATGTACTAGGGACTCAGACTCTCAGGAAAGTTGAATCTTATATCTCTGTTCTTTCTAATCAGCTTCCTTTGCTTTTTTGATACACATGAGAAAAAACATGACTTCCTATAGCTTTGAAATGACTCCAATAGGCCCAACTTTATTAAGTATTCCTCTTCGACCAGCAAAATGCTGGAAATGGGGTCAAAAATAGGGGCAGACAATCCCATATGCATATCCACCACACTTCCAAGTTCTTAGTTTCTAAGGAAAACATCTGGTCAGAATGGACTATTTCAAATTTAATAATCGTAGTCCCTATAAAATATAAAAGTTTTCCAAAGCACTAATATTCGAATGTAATTCTCTTAATAATATATGGTACCAATAGAAAATTCCTGAGTATACAGTACATGTGTTTTCTTTGTTTTAAAAATAAAAGTCACTTTATTTTTTGATAGTAATGACAATTTATATCCAAGTTCATTTAATATATGCAAAACAATTATAAATACATTTTGAAAAAGATATGAAAATCCTCAGTTCTTTCTTGACATCAACCCTATCAATTTTTAAAAGACACCATTAACATCTTAGGATCAAAACAAAATTCCACATCGGAATTGTTTTTGGTCAACGAACATCAGTTTAGGAAAGAAGAAACATTTATGCCTTCTTTTTTGTTTTAAATGCTCAAACGAGCATTTGTTTCTAGTGTTCTTAGTATCAAAGAAGACTGAGAAAGAGAAAGGGCATGGAATGAGTCCAGAAGACTTGTAAAGAAAACATATACAACATAAATCAGCTGTATATAATCCTGTTGTAAGAATGTCTAAGTCAGGAGAATAAAATAGAATTAGAAAATTATCAGCTGTTGATATTTGAGCTAAATCTGTATTACATAGAAGCACAGCCTTAGTGTCACTCCAAACATGAAGTGTAATAGGAAGTGATGTACAGCTTCACCTTTTCTCTCAATTCTCCACTTCACTCTAGGTATGGCATCTACACCATAAATATAATTTACAAAGATTCTGGAAAAGGAGCTGCTGGGCTGATAGGTGCAACAGCCAAAGAGCAGCAGTTTGGGGACATCCTCCATCTGTTTTTGTAAAAGACCTAGCCTATAAGTGTTGAAAGTTCCATATTCTATTGGATGTTGGTTAAATGTAGATTTTGCTTCTTCAGTTGTAAACAGTCCTTATTAAGTATACTAGGGAGTTAAAGGAGCATATGGGAGATGGTCTCAAGTAATAGTTGTATACACGGGATTTCATTATAACAATATTCCATGGAGTGCAGTCTCAGTTACTGCTTATTAGAAGGACAAAAATGAGGATAGGATCACAACCAGCTTTTGCCTGAGCTTTGCTATGCTGTCACTGACCATTATCCTGGGGATAACTAGATCTTCCAGTGCTACTGTTGATACTCAGTGAACAGACACACTCACCTGGGTCTTAATGACTGCCAGGCACTTCCTTTCCGAAGCTCTATGCATTCTACTAGGGGGCAAATCTGTTTGCTTTACTAACCTAGAGTTTATGCATGTCTCTAAGCATTATATGAAGGAGCAAAGGAACATAATAAAAGTCAATGCTGCAGAAAATATGGTAGTAACAGTAACATATATTCGGGACCCTGCATTCTGAGTTTCTGCAGGGAAATAGCCCCAGTATCTCAGAGTCATGACAAAACACAGTTCAGTAGAAAGTGTTGAGTTATCTAGTGAGTTAAGTTGTACCAAGTGTGAGGAGCAAAAATGAGGGTTCAGAGCACATACGTTGAATGGGGAAAATCTTGGTTCTAGTTTCAGCTCTACCAGTTCCTAACTCTGAAAATCTGCTTTAGATTATTTACCTTCCTTGGGTCTGTTTCTATATATAGAAAATAAGGATTATAATAGATATCTCAGAGATTCTTGCAAGGATTCAAGGAAATAAAGTATTTCTATTTCAAACTCCCAGCATATGGTAAGTGTTGGATAAATGGTAGATGTATTATTAATGCAACTTCTAGGATCTAGAGACCTTCCTACTTTTTCCCCCCCCTTATATAACTAGTAATCCTGGTGACAAAGCTTAAGTGGAAGTTTAATAATATTCCCTTCTTAACTGGGTACTTTTTCCCAATTATTAAACAATAATAAAATTTATTATTATAACAAAAACAATAGTAAACAACAAGAACTGTTACAAAGGTAAATACATGCTTTAAAATTCATTTTGTTAGCTGTTTTCCTGAGACACATTCTGTCATTTTCAGTTGAGCCTGGCATTTTGTAGCTTGCGACCATCCTGGAGGTACCTTCAGAGACTGTAGGAAACCAAAAAGAGGAAGTGTTTAAAAGAAAAATGTGCTATGAATATCCCTCCTCTCTCCCCCTCCCCCCACCCAGCAAAAAAAATATAGAGAGCCAGCATTTTTGTATTTTTGTTTTCAATTCATTAGTGTTATCCTGGTAATAAGTTCAGAGGACATTATAATTTCTTGAGAGGCATTTACTGTACCCCATTAACCTAGGAGTTTCTGGGAAAGGAGGTTCTTTGTGATGCTGGGAGACCTATGGAAAGTCACTACCCTGCACTTGCTGAAAGTGAACAAGGAAGCCTGTGGCCCTGATTGCTACAGGCCTTGGCAGAAGTCATCAAGGATGAAGCCACCTCTTTAGACAGGGAGCAGAAAGAGAGAATTCATGTTTCCCTGCATGGGAGTCTCTGGATTGCCAGTTCATGTGCGCCAAACACTCCATTGTTTTAAACCAGCATGGTTGTGTTTGGCCTTACCACAGGCAAAACGACTCGGTGACTGTTGTTTGCCCCCTCAGAGCCCTTCTCTCCCTCTTGTGCCCTCTAAGAAGCTGACACTACAGATTGCACCACAAGGGCTCCCAGGCCTTTCTGGTTTAGCTAGTGGAAGGCTCCTGCTGAAGATCTGAAGGCAGGAGGAGAGGAAGTTTGGGGTGTTTTTCTCCATTTCCTGCCTCCCTCCTTGTTTAGGTTCCAGCAGTGGCTTTTTCATTCCACAGCACCAGCTCCTGCCTGGTGGGCCCTCCAGCAGCCCACCTCTCAGGGCCAAGGGAATGTAACTCCAGCCCTTGTGGACATGGGAAGGGTACAGCTCCTGCCATTGCTAGACTCTGGAGCCTCCATGTTCCTGTGAGTTTCCTCAAGCACCCCCCCTCGCAACTTTTGCCTACCCCAATCCCTTCATCAAAATCTATTTATTGGTTCTATCGATAGTTGGTTTGGCTCAGTGGATAGAGCATTGGCCTATGGACTAAAGCATCCCTAGTTTGATTCTGGTCAAGGGCATATGCCTGGATTGTGGGCTCGATCCCTAGTAGGAGGCATGCAGGAGGCAGCCAATCAATGATTCTCTCTCATTATTGATGTCTTTATTTTTCTCTCCCTCTCCCTTCCTCTCTGAAATCACTAAAAATGTATTTTAAAAATCTCTTTATTGGATCATCCCAGAGGATTTGTGATTCGTACTGGGAAACTAACTGATACAACATTTAAAGAGCATAGAACAACAGTGTTTTGGCATGTGGTAAATGCTCAATAAATGAAGCTATTAATAAAATATTACTATTGTTATTTCCTCTCAATGAGAGATGTCTCTCAATCTGTTCTTTGTGCCTAAAAATGAGGAAGAAAAAATATAAAATAACTACACAACTATGTAAAATTAGAAAACTGCCCAGCCAGCATGGCTCAGTTGTGGAGCATCCACCTTTGGACCAGGAGACCATGGTTTGAGTCCAGGTCAAGGCACACGCCCAGGTTGTGGGCTCCATCTCTAGTAGGGGATGTGCAGAAGGCAACTGATCAATGATTTTCTCCAATCATTGATGTTTCTATCTGTCTCCCTCTCCCTTTCTCTCTGCAACCAATACAAATATATTTTTAAAAATTAAAAAACAATTCATCTGGGTACCTTAGAAAAAGCATATAAAATTCCTCTCCCACATACATGCATCTCTGTGATAACATGTGAGAGAAAGATATAAGAACATTTTATTTGACTTCAGAGTCTATGGACAATTTTATTTATTTTAGATGTTTTTAAACATAATCAAATTTTAATCAATGATTTAGTAGATGCAATTAAACCCCCAATTTTCCCATATAAATGCCACCTGAATCGTTTCCCATCTACCAAGTTTATCACACTCACCGTTAAACAATACTAGTTTCTTGAATATCTTCATTTACAGGAGTTATATCTTTATCAAGATTTGGCATATCTTCTTTCTTTTTCCTTCGAAGGGGACTTGGAAAATAGTGTTAGAAATTAGCATGGGCCTGTTAGTTCATGCGAAGACAAAATTAATCATCAAGAAAGCCACCTATGATTTTATTTCTAGAAGACTGTTAAGAGTGCAGAGGTTACTTTTTTTCCCCTTAAATATTTGAGGTTTTCTTTTAAAAATCATCTCTCGAGGCTTCAAGGCTCTGTTGGTCACTACAATAAGCAACAGTGTGACAGAGTAAGGCTATAGATAGAAAGAATGTGGCACCTGAGTGTTGATAGAGTTTGGTTAGCACAAGAACATTTTCCAAAACAAGTCATTTTACAAAATAGACTGATATGGCATTATTTAGTGTGTATATAAGAAATAGTACACATTGGAAACAAACATAAGAATACAAAGAGCACTTTTGAAATGTTAATTAAGTTGCCAGATACATTAGAAATCTGGACTGTAGTTCCATTTTTTGGAAGTATAACTCAAAATTAATGTAATAAAATAGGCCATCTCTGAGCTCTGTCCAACAGATACTTTGTCCCAAACCTGGCATTATAAATGTTCCTTTTGCTAGAAAGTAGGCAAAAAAAAAAAAAAAAAAAAAAAAAAAAATAGTTTTCAATTTTATAGCTAGAATTCTATAAATTACCTGGTTTAATTCTCTAATTTTACAGATCATATGATTTTGCAGATGTTAAGAAAGTCCTCCAACATTTCAAAGACACTCAATGGCAGAGCTGTAAAAAAATCAGTCACCCGGGAGCTGTGCTTGTGTTTCTCATCCCTGATGGCTGTGAAGAAAGGGATCATGGGATACTCTCTTCAGGGGTAGACCGCAGACCACCGGTCTACCTAAAGCAGTTTAGGAGGCTGCACTAGTTCCTCAAGACAGAAAGATAGCACTGGAGACTTTTAGCGTAGTACCTGGGAGTTCTAGTCTAACTAACCATTTGATGGGTTTCCAAAAGTAACTATCTTAAGTAATACACCAAGCCACCCTCTCTTAGACAAAAGCAAGGTGTTTATTGAGTGCCAAAATTGTGGCATATAATGAAAAGTAAAAGAGAAGAACAAGAATGTGGTTATCTTTCATAAATTAAATTCATGATTTTGATGTGGATAAAAATATGTTTTGTTCATTTATTTCAATCTTTCAAAGTTAGTCCTTGTGTAGCTTGAGAAAAGGAGTCTGATTCAGCCTAACAAACTCACATAAAATATGACAAACTTTAGGACTAAATAATAGTTTTCTTTAAGTTAGGAAATTTATACAAATTTGATTTTAAATTATAATAATTGTGCCCAGTAAAATGACAAATATCATGTGTTTTGCTATAAATAGTTTAAATAAATGATGGAAAACTTGGAAAGTGATTTATTTAAGTAAAAGCAAAAACAAAAAGTTAGAAAGGAGGGAAAAAATCAGGATGATACAGTTTCTCAGATTTACTTAAAATTAAATTTAAAATACTTACTGACAGCATGTGCAGACACCAATCACCAAAATGATCAATGTCACCATAACTGCCGCCAAACAAATCACCAGAATCCGTCCTGTGTCTCCTCTCAGGTAAAAAAAGTCAACTCTCTCACATCTTGCCCCAGCATAGCCATCATCACAGCTGTCAAAATAAAACAAAAACAAAACAAGGTGAAATGGGAGTTTTCAAAATCGCTACTATTTCTTTTATGAAGTAACTAACACTGTTTTCATTCCTTGGAATTAATAATTTAAAAAAACCCACATAATTCCTTTAAAATATTAAGTAGTTCATGAATAATTTCTCTTTCTTTGGTTTGCTGAAAATCTGTCATCACTTGAACAATATTAACAATATGTATAACATAAATAAATAGGGATGCTGGCAATTTACTAAACTTTAGTTTGAAATTTTAGATTTTGCATTTGAATAGAGATGATAAAATTCCCTCCACAACATTCCCAAGCACTTAAATACCTACATGGCAAGGGCTTCCCATTTCATCGCAGGACAATATGAACAATTTCAGTGTGCCCAAGTTCTCTTAATATAATTTTTTTAAGAAATTATACTGTCTCGTATCATCAAACATGATAATTAGTATGCATGAAAGTTCATAGACATCTACCTACATATAGAAGTTCCATACATATTATTTAATAGAATTCCTCTCTCCCTGTGACTTCCACCCATCAGTTCTAGTTCTACTGCTTGCAGGTGTCACAGATGAGGTACTGCTTCTCTATTGCTCTTGTAGTCACCACCTCCCCAACTACACTCCCAAACACAATAGGTCATTATCCTCTCTGGTTCCTGGTTTCTGGTTCCTTTATCTGATCCTCTAAGTCCACATTTTCAGATCTGGTCATAATTCCCTCTAGTCTCTTCCAAATGGCCTCCCTTTCTCCATGGCCTAATAAAGTGTAGTGACCAGAAATCAGCAAGTTTTCCAAGTGCAGCAACACTCCCCTCATTCTCTCAACTCTCTATCAACACAGTCCTAGGATCCACCTGAACTCAGTGGATGCCCCAAGTCTCAGTTACAGTTAAGGATGTATTTGACCAAGCCAGGGCTTGTCTGAGTAATACTCAAGAAGCTCGAGGCTCAGTGATTTGAAGACTATTCCTAGTATTCTCTGAAGAGTGCCTATGCTTACAAGGTATTTAAGAAGTCTGAGGATATTTGAAACCAAAATTATATGTTGTAACATCAATTACTTTCCCCTTTTCTCCTTAGACTCATTCAAAATGCAGACGTTGGTCATGCTTATATATATCTGGAAAAGGGTAAATTATGTTTCTTGAAAAGACTTCTGTACAACCTCTTTTTTTTGTTTTGTTTTTTTGCTTTGCTTGATTTGGTTTTAATTTTGTAAAAAGAGATGAATTGCCAGGCTGTTCTATGGTTTATGTTTGACCAAAGAGTCAAGTCTGTTAATTCTCACAAAGCCTATATTGCACAAATAGATTCCCTGAATGCCAATACTGTAGCTGATACACAATGCTACAAAAATTAAATAAAACAAAACAAAAAAGCAAGCTTGGCTGGAGTAGCTCAGTTGGTTGAATATAGTCCCATGCACTGAAAGGTTGCTGGTTCCATTCTTGGTCAAGGCACATACCTGGGTTGCAGGCTCCATCCTCAGTTGGGATGATTATAGAAAGCAACCAATAGCTTAACCTCTCCTCCCCTCCCTCCCCTCCCCTCCCCTCCCCTCCCCTCCCCTCCCCTCCCCTCCCCTCTCCTCTCCTCTCCTCTCCCCTTTCTCTCTGTAAGCATGTCCTCAGGTGAGGATTGAAAAAAAACAACACAAAAACAAGCTCAATCTCAACCGTCAGTTGAAAGGTGAGGCTCAATGCAGGCCAGGAGAAAGATACCTAATCAACTGCAAAAGGACCCCAGGACCTATGAGAGAAAACTGCTTCTTTTAGGAGAGCTGGGTGACTTGGTTGCAAGGTTAAAGTCATGAAAGGAAAACTTAGAAATATCTCAAAACATCAAAAAAAAAAAATCTTCTGTACATGGGCCTGGAACTGGGGGGAGGGGAGGAAATCACTTTTAATTGCATGTGTGGGATGAAGGTTTTTAAGAGTTTTTTTTTTTTAAGGTCATAATTAAAATCTTACAAATATAGTCTCTCCTAATTAGCTTAAATGTTTCTCTAACAAATTCACTAAAAGTGGCATTTTTAAACAATACCTTCACCTATAAAATACACTGCAATTTCTTACTGTTCTTTAGAATGCTTTTCTAATTATAAACTCCAGGTTTATAACTCAGGTCCTGTGGTGTAATCACACTCTGGTTGAATTTCTCAGTTAGCAGTAAGCCTCCCAGCAAGTTATAACCCGGTAAGCCATGCTAGAAGGTGAAACCTTAACCAGTTGTAGTGGCTCTCATGTTATTTCACTTCTGATCAAATCAATAGTAACCTTTACCTCGCTGAAAATGAGGCAAAGGGTACAAGATTCCAGGAGATGTTTATTAAATGCTCAATAAGTAAACAAATGAGATTTAATAAACATGAAATAAAATTTTAAATAATTTTTAAAAATGCCCGTGGTCCTTGAGGACTCTGCAAAATCAGATTTGGGATTACTTTTCTGGAGTAATCACCAGACACAATTCTAAAATATTTAGAAGTATTAACTCTATGATTCTTTTTTTTTAAAAATATATTTTTAATTGATTTAGGAAGGAAGAGAGAGGGAGGGAGGGAGACAGAAACAGCAATGATGAGAGAGAATCATGGATTGGCTGCCTCTGGCATGTGCCCTGAGTGGGAATCAAACCTCGTCCTCCTGGTTCATAGATCTATGCTCAACCAGTGAGGCATGCCAGCCGGACTCAATTGATTCTTAAAGTAACCTTTGCAGTAGTTGTTATTATCAACCCATTTTACAGATGGAGTAACTCAGCTATAGAGAAATTGAGTGAGTGGGGCTGGGGCTCAAAGGCAGGAGGTTGGCTACTAAGTTAATGCCCAACTCCATGCAATACTGCTTACATGAAATGTGCTGCATAAATAATTAAAAATTATGTATCTGGAAACAAATTGCCTCCGTTCCAAGAATATACAGAAGAGACTAATAGAGGATTGAAGTTCTTTGAAACACTGTGGTGTTTATGTAAAAGCTGGAATCCACAAACTCCTGTGAGCTCAAAAGGAGATATTTCTGGTTCCCAGAATAGCATAAGCACCATGGGCAGGGCAGTTTTACCTGAATCTGTGTAAGTGACCCAAAAGGTCAGGCCTAGGTTCAATATTTCTCACTCATCTCATGGTACAGTTTATGAAACATTTACTCTGTGCTGGGTACCATAATAAATATTTTTATTAATGTTTATTTTGCCAAGTTCTTAACACTTCAGAGGAAGATATTATTATTCCATCTTACAGAAGATAAAACTGAGACTTGAGAAAGATATCTGATCCATTGTTAAACTTGCTTATTATTGATGAAAACAAAATTTTAACTTAATTCTATTTGATTTCAAAATCTGTGTCCTGCTCCATAAGCTTTCCCACCTCCTATTGATTCATTATCATTCTACCACTAAGAAGGTGTTCCTGGTTCAGATTAAGGCCTTGGTTTGTGTTTTTTTAATATGTTTTTTTTTAATTGATTTTTTTTTTTTTTGAGAGAGAGAGAGAGAGGAAGGGCAAGGGATAGATAGAGAGAAAGATGAATAAGCTACCTCCTGCATGCCCCCTACTGGGGATTAAACCCACAGTAAGGGCATGTGCTCTGACAAGGAATTGAGTAGGTGACCTCCTGGTTGTGGGTCAACGCTCAAGGACTGAGCCACATCACCCAGCAAGGCCTTGGTTTTGATACTTAGCAGAGCATTGGATGAATTATGATAGAGGGACTCAGTCACTAATTCATCAGTCATTCTTGAACACCTATTATAGTAAAATCTAGGTGTGGTGCTTGGCACCAGAACACAAAAAAGAATAAGCCACGAGCCCTGCCTTCTAGGTATTCACAGTCACAGAAGTGACACTTACAGAAACCATTTATGCTCCAGGGGAAATAGTTTTTATAGAAGTGGGATTAAAGCCCAGAGAAATGGCATCAAGCCAACACCTGAATGTGTCTGAGAATAGAAAAGATAATTCAGGGGTCCAGGAAGAGCTGATGGTTTGAGTTGCATGTAAAACACCAGTGAGAATGAGCTTTACAGATTATGAGAAGAGCTTGTGTAAGTACCACACAAAGGAATGCAGGATTGTAGAGGGACATTTGAAGCTATAATGGAGATAAAGAATAAAGCAGGATCAGAGTAGCTTCGAAGGCTGAGGAAATGAGTTGGCAGAAGGGAGCATGCTGTGTGTTGATTGATCTTAGGGAGTAGATTACACACTATGGTTTTCATTTTAGAAGGCAGCAATATTAAAGAACAATAAATGTACAGACATAGAGATCAGTTAGAAAAATGTAGTGCATTAATGGGCATTAATATTTAAAAGACTCAATAAATTCTCTCAAACCAGTGAGCAATTAAATGAAATTGAAAAAAAATCAGCTCTCTTTCCCAACACAACCCCACACACAGGCACATTTTTCTTATTCCCTTTCTTTCCACCTCTAATTATGATCCTTATATATTTATTTTTAAATTTAATTTAATTAAATTTCAAAGAAGTCCATAACTCATACATTTCACTAAATTAGGGATTAGAATTTCTGTCCTGAGATAATTATGAAAAAACAAACAAACAAAAACGTCTCCTGAGGGGAAATGCACATAATATTCTATGAATTTTAGATAAAAATTATACTTAAGAAATCACCTTGCTACCCTATGAGGTGAGCTCTAAGAGCATTTTAGAGGGACATCTCTTTAGAAGAAAATGAATATTTAAATTATGCAAAAAATGTTTCTTGTGCCCGAGTAAATTAAAATTTGCACTCTTAATGTATTAACAGGTGAAGATTTTTCTTCCTATTCCCTGCTCTATTAAACAAACTTTAAAAATCTATATTTATGGATAAGATGGGGTTCTTTGCACTTAATTGACACCTGCAAAAGTAACTTTTAATTTGGCAGAAACTCTTTTAAATTTAAATAAATTACAAACCATATAACTAATGTCAGAAAATGTATTTTCCATTCAAAACACATGGGATATAAATTGAGCTTTTAAAACCATCCTTTTAAAAAATTATCTTCATTGTTGAAAATATTACAGATATCTCCCTTTTTTCCCCCATTGACTACTTCCACTCCACTTTCGCCCCCTTCTCAGGCCTTTACTGCATTATTCTTGGTCCATGGGTTATGCATATATGCACATAAATTCTTGGTTAATCTCTTCCTGCCCTTGTGTGAGGCTCATATGATAACCACTACACCATGAACACAAGATGGGTTGAGGGTAAGGAATTTCAAGAAGCACATGGGAGGATGTCACCAAAAAGGAAGCAAGTTCCATGGAGATCCCCAGATTCAAAGTCAATAGTGCTAACCATTACACCCTGGGGCCATAGAAGCAACCCAAGTGCCCATCTGTAAATGAGTGAGTAAAAAAGATATGGTACATATGTACAATGGACTACCTCTTGGCAATGAAAAACGAGGGAATCTTACCATTTGCAATAGCATTCATGGACCTAGAGGCCATTGTGCTAAGTGAAATAAGTCAGCCAGAGGAAAACAAATTCCATATGATTTTACTTGTTTGTGAAACCTAAAGAGCCTTACAAATGAGCAGGCAAAACAGAAACAGAGACATAGGTACAGAGAATAGACTGATGGTTGCCAGAGGGAAAGGTTGGGGTTTGGAGGGAAAAGATGAAGACATTTACAAATACAGATTGGTGGCGGCAAAGTAGCCAGGGGGATGTAAAGCACAGTATAGAAAAAATAGTCAAAAACATTGTCATAAGTATGTAAGGTGCCAAGTGTGTACTTGACATATGGGGGACACTTTAGAAAGTATATGATTATCTAACCACTAGACTGTAAACCGCAAACTAACACAAAATAAATTAAATATAAACTATAATTGAAAAATAATAATAAAAAACTATAGTGAAAGAGAAAAAAAACTTTTTTAACACTGGATGGAAACAGTCTTGCTTGTCTAAGGCAGCAGAGGACTCAGCCCTGCCTGCAAGCAAATCTGGACCCTCTGATGTGTGTCAGTTTCTCCATAAGCAGCTGTGGAAGGAGCCCCTGAGCAAGTAGCTGCGGTAGGACCAGGGGTCCCTGTGCTGGCAGAAGGCTTGATTAGCTCAGACTTTCCAGTCCTGCAGAGCCCTGGCCAGCACCATCCTGTCTCCCTTTGCTTGCAGGCTCAGGGCTCCACTTACAGGCAGGAGGGTGTCTGCAGGGCACCCACGAAGCGACATTTCCCATTGATGCAGTAATGCTCATATTTCTTGGGGCATGGAGAGAAGTAATCATTCCACTTTGACTGTGTGGTGGTAACTAAAAAATAAAAAATAAAAAAAAGGTCAATAAGTCACTCACCTAAAACAACATTTCTAAGCAGTAGTATATGCTTATCTTTACTGCCAGGTTTTTTGCAGAATATACTCCTGTTTTTCTTTTCTCCTCTCTGCACTGGGATAAAAGTTACACTTTTGTGGCTCCAAAATAATGCTAGAGATTGTATAATGGGAACATTTCATATTTTAATTAGATTTATGAACATTCTACCTCTCAGAAACATTGTTGTTGTTTAAAGGGTAGAGCATAGTTGTGGTAAGAGAAAAGGTTACTCTTCTCATGAAGATTATTAGAGTCCTGAGGCTGATGGCACTGAAGAGAGAGGTACACATTTCTGTCCTTTTTAAAATTGTTTTAATTTAAACAGTTATGAAGTGCTTACTGAAAACCAGATGCTGGTCTGTATACTTTGTTTTTATGAATGCATTTAAGTCTCATAACACTCTTATAAGTAAACAGCATCCTAATGTCCTACTTATTAATGAGCAAATCCCCTATTTATTCACGAGAGGGTATGGTACCTTCCAGAATCACACGCTAGTACTGGGAAGGCCTGGAGAGCAAACGAGGGCCATCTTGTCCCACAGCCCATGCTCTTGACCACTCCACTCAGCACTCTATCAAGCCAGGTGTTCACAGGTGGCTGTCATCTGCTCTCCACCCCAGGACTCCAGGAGTCATGCTTCCTGAGTGGGGCGTTGTCTTTCTCATTTGACCCTTGGAAGGATACACATGCCCTGAAGAAGGAGGAAGATTCTGAAAGCTTCACATCCAGGATTTCAATCCTGCACTGCCCTGACCCTTTTGTCTCATCTTTAGGGTGGTGATTGTTTAATTATTCACCTGGAACAGTAATATGCAACAATTTTCTCATCATAGAAAGTTTCAATAAATAAACACTGTCAAGAGGAACACTACAGAAATACTAACTGGCTGTGTGGATTCACAGCAGACATGTGCTCACACCCAGAGAGAGCAGCTTACTAGCCAGGCCCAGCCCAGGGCCGGACTTTCCATATTCATGTCATGACCAGCAGCTTGCAGGAGTCAGACACCTGTGCAGCCAGAAAGACCACAGTGTTCGCTAATGGAGGGCCTCTCACACTAGCTTTGGTGGGGCACCTGCCACTCCAATGACATCAAACAATCCTTTTATTATTAGCAAGGACTGCTAAACTTCTTCCTTCATATTATGTAATGAGCACATATAATTGCTCAGGGCCACCAGAGAGAGGAGTCGCAAAGAGCTCTGATGATCTACACATAGCAAGTGCCTGCCTTGCCAGGTCACAGTGTCAGTGGGTGGCAGAATGTTGCTGAGGAACTGGCTGACCTGGTTTTGGTTGGTGGCTTAATTACCAGCCATGTTCACTGCTGGTCCATGCCAGATATTTCTGCTATGCATGCCAATCAATGGGGTTCTTATTGAAATTTCTGCCAGAAATAAGTTCAAACTGGCTCTAAGGCAAAGATCTGTGTATTTTGGCAAATAAATTGATTAGTCAACTTCCATTCATCAAGTACTTTCTATCTCCAGAGCCCTATAGTAGACATGGGGAAACATCAAAGAAATAAGGGATATCATATCTCTTATACTAAACTAAATTCTTAAGGGATATCCTATCTCTTAAGAATAAACAAGCAACAAATAAGAGCAACCATGGTAACTGCATAAACAGATGTGGTCCACTGGAAACAGTGGAAAAAACACTGGATTGGGAGGAAGGAACTTAGTGTTTCATTTTCAGCTCTGCCTTTCTCTAGCCACATGGGTCTGGGAAAGCAAAGTAAGCTGCCTGAGCCTGAGTTTCCTCACCTGCAAACTGAAGATGATGACATTTGCCTTATTCAAAGGCTCAAAGAAAATACATGTGGAATTCCTAGCAGAGAGCCTGGACTATAATGCTCTCAGTAAATGGATTGATTATAGAATCTTGACAATTAAAAAAAATATATTGTATCAGTACAAAGGTGCTTACTAAATTAAGGGATCATTTTTGGGACACGTCGATATTTTATTTAGAGGTGGTGAGTAAGCAAGTGAGGTATGGAGAATGTCAAGGTCAAAAGGTCAGAGTCAAGAATATGCAAGCCTTATGCAAGGGGAAGATTTAATTATAATAATGGAAGTGGCATGAAGGGGAGCAAAGATGGCTGTGAATAGAAGTTAGAAAACTCAAATTGCCCAATGTGTTTGCACTGAAATTTAGGACAGAAGAGTGCTGAAGAAGGTTCTTATGCAATAAATTCAATGGTACATGTAGAAGCTAAGTGAGAAGCCTTTTTTAAATAGATAGGAGAGTGCAGACTGGATCTGAGTAGAAAGATACCAGTGTAAGCAGTCAACCAAGGTACAGCTGAACCACACAGACATATGTGATATGGGCCTGCAGCAGGTGAGTAAAGGTCAAGAAGAATTTAAGAAGCAATAACACTTAGTGACAGATCTGCTGTGCTACAGAAAGGTCTTTTTAATTTGTAAAACTCTCCTCGCTTTAAACATAAGCTGCATCATTCTGTGCTCTGACCACAACTGAGTCACTTATTCATTGTGCCTCTTTAAACATAGCCAGAGTTTTCTCATAAGCACCAAAACAGAGCAGGTCCCTCAAACTTTGTTTTTTTTAAAAATATATATATTTTAATCGCTTCTCGGCCTTTTGGCTAAGATCAAGTGTAAAAATATATATATTTTATTGATTTTTCACAGAGCGGAAGAGAGAGGGATAGAGAGTTAGAAACATCGATGAGAGAGAATCATCGATCAGCTGCCTATTGCACACTCCTACCGGGGGTGTGCCTGCAACCAAGGTACATGCCCTTGACCGGAATCGAAACCTTTTAGTCTGCAGGCCCACACTCTATCCACTGAGCCAAACCAGTTTTAGCTCAAACCTTAATAGCAGCTGTTGGACACAGTGATTTGATCAGCCTCAGTTCATCCAACAACACACGCCTGTGCCAGAGAAATGGTTGCCAGGGCCTATTTTCACACCTCACAGAGCTCTCTTCTTTGCCAATAAGCTTGCTCTTAAATATTCACAGAAATTATTTGGATTTAAAAACAGTTCCATGCCATCAGGCAGAAAATATTCAATGATTTATCTATGGAACTTTAAAACCTAGTAGAAAACAGCTCACACATACTGCCCCCCAAAAGCCAGAGAGACCTCTCTTCCTCTCTCTGGAAATTAAAGGCTGATCAGAATCTCCCCTTTGGAAATGCATCTACAATTCCAGGTGCTTTCATCTAAAGTTCACGAAGGTTACATCTGAAAGTTGAACAATTGTGAAATTTAACATTTTCTGCCTATCATGAGACCTGATGAGATTGCCGGGGATGGCAAAATTATACCATTCCATTCCAGGAATGTGTCTCAAGAAGAAGAAAAAGTTAACCCTATGACAAAAGTAAAACTAGTCTCATGTATTGGGTTTCTCTTTTGAGAATTGAATGGCATGGTTTTGAACATGTCACAGGCTTAAAGCATCCCTTGATTCTGGGTATGGTGGAATTAATTGGTCTTTTGTCCTCCCACCTTCCTCTTTTCCAACCCACATGCCACAAAACCAAAATATGCTTCTGGGAGTGAGTCTGTCTCACAAAATTCCACTGGAAAACTACATCCATTGGTGAGCCAGGTTGCAACACTTAACTGGATAGGCACAGGTAATATATCACAATCTCCTCATGAGACACCATATCCCTAAGATTCTAATGCCAAATAAGTCAGAAACCACAAGGATTATTGCAGGTCAGTGTATGTCAAAATCTGATTCTAAGAGTTAACACAAGGGATCAGAAGTGAAAACCTCTTTCTTTGACTATTTGGGCAGATAGACAAGAAGTGTATCTTCCTTGGGTGATATGGATAATTAGATGAGAGGTGACAAATTCTTTTGAGCCAAACTCAAATGTAGGAACACAGCTTACACCCAAATAACTGTTTAAATATGGATTCCCCCTCAGTTTGATAAATGCTTTGATTAAGCAGCATTGTGCGTTGGTCTTGCTGTACATGATCCTTACTGTCAAGCCAAAACAGGTTTTGTAATATATTGGTGATGAAAACTTTTCAGATTTGAAACATTAGTTCTATTTTTTATAAAATCTACCCTTACTTATTTCAATAGTGCTTAGTAGAATTCTAAGGAATGAATGATAATGGTATTGATATCAGCAGCTCTTCTGAAAACAACTCTAAAGGTAAAGTAAAATTATAGTTATAATGTCTTTTGAAATTGTCATTACAATGTTCATAACCTTATAGTATATGTGACCCCTATTTTGACACATAGTTAAATGCTTGTGTAGGGGACTTAAAAGGGGGTGTTTAATATAGACATAGATGTCCTACAAGTGTTTACAAGGAGAGAAGAAGAAAAACAAATACCTAGAAATTCACCTTCCCACTCAGATGCCTGACCTCCAAAAGGAAACACCGAGGGCACAGAAGAGTTTAAGTGGTCCCAGCAGAGTTTAGAGAAAAGTTTCTTCTTAGTCTGTGAAGTAGAGCCCAAGGCTTCAAACTTTTGTCCTTGGCTTCCAGACATTTTCCCAGTAGGGTTTTCTAATATTACAACTTTTTAAAGCCAAAAGGTGAGGAAGAAAGTCATATATTTTAATGTTATTTTTTCTTATCTTTGTAATGATCTCCCTGAGAAGGGGAATTTAAATTCATGATGCCCTTCAAGTGCAAAATTTAACATTTATTGTAACTGAGGAATCCCATTTGTCTTACATCCAATGCCATTTCCTATAGAAATGTGAAAGGGTTGGTTGCTCCCAGACAAGAAGAATAGAAAATAGATTTCACAGATGTGCTGTGATCCCTCTGGTGCTACCAGACTATGCTTATACAGAGGGCTAGTTAGACCCTCTAGCATGTCTTTTAACCTGAGGGCTGTGCTAACCATTCTGACCTGACAGGAGAGGGCCATCACTTAGGGCTGCCCCTTTTCATTGTATAACTCTCAAAGAAGAAAAGACAAATCTAGAGTTGAAGTGAGAGTGTATTTGCCTATATTTAAAATTATTCATAGCTGTGAGACAATTGAAAAGAACAATGGACAGGAGGAATACTTGTATTTCTTTTTGTTTTTCAAGAGTGCAGACTATGGAATTCTTATGCCTAAGATGCCTCCTTTGCTCATTCTCCTTTGGGGGTTCTTTCTCAGCTCCTCCATCCTGTAAATTTTGCAGTGCATTGGGTTTCAGAGCTCTTTCATCTTTTCTCGTTTCCTCACTCCCCCCGCTCAGTGTTTCTTGGCTTGCAACACCTTTAAACTAACAACTCCCAAATTTGTGTTTCCATCCCAGATCTCTTTTCTCAATGCCAACAGCCCAACTAAAATCACCAGTTGGATATCTGACTGGCATTGAAACTAAACACTTCCAAAATGGAACACCTGGTTTCCTTGTGCAAATCAGGTCTTTTCTCATGTCAGTAAATCTGTATCAACATTCTTTTATTATTCAGACCAACAATTTTGGGGTTATCTTGATTTCTTTCTCTTTTACTCTATATCTAATTCATCAGAAAATTCAATTGGTTGAATTAAAATATGCAGAATTGTCCCTTTATCTCCAATAACCTGATCTAAGCCCAACATCATTTCTAGGCTGGCAGTAGTCTCCATGGCAATCATCTGTAAGTAGTCTTCCTGTTTTTGCCCCTTTAACTAACTGTCTAATCTGCATACACAGAAACTAGATGGATGATATTAAAACTCACTCAGAGTAAAAGTTGAAGGCTTTAACCTTCTCAGCAAGATTCTATATTATACTACCCATTACTTCTTTTTCTCATAACCTCTCTGATATCATCTTTGACCATTGTGCTCATTGCTACATTCTTGGTATCTGGAACAGAGCCTGATGCATAATAGTTGCCTATAAGTATTGGTGGAATGCATAAATTCTTCACTCAAAATAGAAAGTGATAAACTAAGCATGGAATGCTTAAACTCATGAAGTCATTTAGAAGTAGGAACTGCTCCTAAAGATCATCTGGTTCACTTCTTCATCTTACAGGTTAAAAACAGAGTCTTTGAAAGCTCAAGTGATTTGCCAAAGGTCACATGATTAGTCAATAGAGACAATCTGCTCCTGTTCCACATTAATTCCTTTCTCAAGAATTTTTGTACTTACTTGGACTTTAAGCTATTATTTTTCAAACTTTCCTTCATTCCTATATTCGGCATTCTGATCTTCCCACATGATTTTAGCAGTTTAGCATGGTGATTAACAACACATTCCAGAGCCAGTCTCCCTGAATTCATTTTGCATGAGGTTGAGCAAAATTTTGCTGTCCCCAAAATATGGCTCTTCTGATATTGATTTTAAGCTGGTAATTAAGGGAAATACAGACTCAGGAAGAACTTTTTTTAAAAATATATTTTATTGATTTTTTACAGAGAGGAAAGGAGAGGGATAGAGAGTTAAAAATATTGATGAGAAACATCGATCAGCTGCCTCTTGCACACCTCCTACTGGGGATGTGCCCGCAACCCAGGTACATGCCCTTGACCAGACTTGAACCTGGGACCTTTCAGTTCACAGGCTAAAGTTCTATCCACTGAGCCAAACCTGTTTTGGCAAGGAAAAACTTTTGACCCTTCCTCTTTATTGCCTAAAAGAAATTTAGATAGAGAACATGCTCCCGGAAGGGAGATATATGTCATCACAGATAATCACAGTTTAATATGGATTAGTGAGTGGTAGACAGGGAGGAACCCAACGAGGCCTGCTTGATCAAAGTCCTCTCTGTGTCACATTGAGAAATATGGCCCAACAAACATTTGTTTACTAAGCACTTGTTTTTCTATATTCATGCGAATTGCCTTATTTCCTTTGAAGACCCAAACTTCAACATTTTTCTTTTCCTTAACTCCAGAATAGCATATAGGCCTTAATTGTCATAGCAATTAAATTTGGTTGTTTTCTCTTGTTAATCTGTCTCTTGTAAATTTGGTTATTAGCCCAGACAGAAGAAATTAAAAAAGTGGGAAGAAAATTAATTTTTTGACCTCTACACAGACTACCCTGCTTACTATGTGACCTTAAACAAACATATCTTCTAAAAGAATTAAAAAGGCAATCTATAGTTGCTATGGAAAATAGAATGTAGTTTCCTTAAAAAATTAAAAATACATCAAACGTATGATCCAGCATTCCAGCTTTTGATATTAATCCAAAAGAATTAAAGTCAGTATAACAAAGTGATATCTGTACTCCCCATATTTATAACAGCATTATTCACAATGGCCAAGATGTAAAAAAAACCTAAATATCTATCAACAGATGAATGGATGAAGAAATTGTGTTACATGCATAAAATGGAATATCATTTGATACCTTATTTATTTTTAAAATATGTTTTTATTGATTTTAGAGAGAGAAGAAGAAAGAAGGAGAGAGAAAGAGAGAAACATTGATGTGAGAAGCATTGATTAGTCACCTCCATAAGCACCCCAACCAGGAAACAAACCTGCAACGTGGGCATGCGTTTTGACTAGGAATCAAACCAGTAACCCTTCAGTGCAGGGGATGATGCCCAACCAACTGAGCCACACCAGCCAGGACTCAGTTTTTTTGTTTGTTTGTTTGTTTTAAAGGAAATACTTCAATATGCAACAAGATGGGTAACCCTGGAGAACATTATGCTAAGTGAAATAAGCCAGTCATCGAAGGGCAAATATTACATGATCCCACTGATATCCAATATCTAAATGACTAAATCTATGAAAGCAGAGACTAGAATGGTGATTGCTAGGGACTGGGGAAATGGGGGAATAAGGAATTTTTGTTCATGGGTTAAAATTTCAGTTATACAAGGTGAGTAGTTTCTAGATATCTGCTGTATAATACTATGCCTTATAGTTAACAATACTACAATATATTGTACATTTAAAAATTTGTAATAGGGTAGATCTCATGTTAAATGTTATTTCTACAATAAAAAAATAGAAAATACATTTAGGATATGATGAAGCAGATTGTTTAACACTGTCAATCATCAAATTATGGAATTATATCCCAAAGGATATGTGAAAATGCCATCATTTAAACCATTTGAAACCTGACTGAAGAAAAGCACACAAACACGCAAAGTTGACCTTGTTCTTTTTCCCTACATGGATGACAAGACTACACAAACAGGACCTAAGACAGGGGTGGATTCCACAGACATTCTCCAGACCGCCCACTAGTGTGAGGAAGAAAGAAGATAGGGCTGGAATTGATGACTCACATCAGGATGACTTGCTCAGCATGTTCCTGGCTCAGTTACAACTTCCTGAAGTCACCTTACTCTCAGAAGTTTCCAGAGAATACAGGAGGTCCTTCTCCATTCCACCCTACATTTGGAATTAGCCTGTGTTTTGTTTTGTTTTGTTTTGTATCAGAAACAATTGGTGTAGAAGACCAGACCACACAATCTATAAAGGGCAGACAGAACCTTAGACCAGGGGTCAGCAAACTATAACTCAAGGGTTAAATCTGGCCCACAGCCTATTTCTCTAAATAAAGTTTTATTGGAACACATCCAAGGCCACTCATTTGCATAGTGTCTATGGCTGCTTTTACAGTAAAAGGGAAGAGTTGAGTAGTAGAAACAACTCATGGGTGACAAAGCCTAAGATAATTATTATCTGGCCTTTTATAGGCTCGACCCTTGCCTTTGACTAATAATTAATAATTCAAGCATTTCCAGGGGGAAAAATGTAAAATTATTGCTTTCTTCACATATTTTAAGTTGTGGAATAGGAAAACAAGTAATTTGAATAGAATATGAGAATTTTTTATTAATCTAGTCTAAGATAGAACATGCCAGAGCATGGAGCACACATCTGTGACACTAAAGTAGTATTATGATTAATAATAAAAGCACTATCTCTGACCACTTCACTCAGTCAGTTGGAATATCCTCCCATGAACCGAAAGGTTGTGGGTTAGATTTCAGATCAGGACACATATCTAGGCTGAGGGTTTGATGTGTGTGCGGGAGGCAACTGATCAATTTTTCTCTTACATCGATGTCTCTCTCTCTCTCTCTCTCTCTTCTCTCTCTCTCTCTCTCTCTTTCAATAACTATATCCTTGGGTGATGATTTAAAAAAAATAAAATAATGAAAGCACTAGGATCACAAAGGCCTGAATGTGAATCCCGGATTTGCTTTTTACCACCCGTGTAACCTTTGCCAAGTTACTTAATATTACCCAGCTCCTAGGGCTTATGAGAGGAGTAAATGAATTACTTCATGTAAAGCACTTAGTACAGTACCTGGTATATTAGTATTAGGTCTAGTAATAATTAATGTCGTTTTCTAATACTTTTTTAAATCGTATTTATTTTTTTTTTTATTTATTTTTTTTTTTACAATTCAATAAAAAAATTTATTTAAATAAACAAATATGTATACCACAAACCCTAATTTTTAGCTTTTATAAAATTACATCAATGGATGTCCTCAATACAAAACTCCATGTAATTCGTCTGAGTGTATCTGCAGGTTGATTCATGAAAGTAGATTTGTTGATCAGTATGAAGTTTTAAGCTCCAATAGGAAACATTAAGTAGCCCATCAATAAGCATACACCAATACCTACTCCTATTCACACCTTGACTAATATTGAATATTATCAATTATTTTAACTTTTTGCTAATCTCACAGGCAAAATAGGTGTACAATGTACCTTTTAAAAATATATATTTTATTGATATTTTACAGAGAGGAAGGGAGAGGGACAGAGAGTTAGAAACATCGATCAGCTGCCTTCTGCACACTCTCCACTGGGTATGTGCCCACAACCAAGGTACATGCCCCTGACTAAAATCGAACCCGGGACCCTTCAGTATGCAGGCTGACACTCTATCCACTGAGCCAAACCGGCCAGGGCAGTACAGTGTACTTTGATCATCACTGGTAAGAATCAGTATCTTTCCCCAGTAGTATTGGAAATTGCATTTCTTCAGCTGTGACCCACCTTCTCACTCTTCTTATGAGCAGTAAGAGCTCTTTCTATAGCAAGCATAGTTTTCTTTGGTCTCATTGCTCTCCTAAGATCACCAGACTTATAACAATAAAGTGTTTTTGTCATAACAAAGGAAACCTACCTTTGTGCTGCAGTGGCAGGGGGTCCCTATCTGGTCCTTTAAAACTAGTCTCACATTATCCACGGAGAAAGGGAAAGGAAACGGGGCTCTGAATAAACCATACGCCTTGTTTTACACTCTTTGGGGACCACAGTCTTATCTCCTTCCAGGAGCCTTTATCACCTGGTGCTTGCAGTGGTTTTAAATGAGATTTGTCAGAAGCTTTAGGAGTCAAGCAGCGTGTATTAGGCTTCTATGTTCATTCTTAACTCATCCTCCAGCTATTAATTGCAGATCAGTCAGAGAAAAGGAAAAGCTTTAATCAACAATATAGTTGCCGTTGTTTTCTACTACTTGTGCCCAACGCTCAGGAAGCATTTTAATCCCTCTGTGGTAAAATTCTTGTAATTTTGATGCAAAAAATTCGGTCAATGCATTTTTGAGGCATTCTTCATTATTAAATTTTTTTCCAAGAAGAAAGTTTTGCAAAGAACGAAACAAATGGTAATCGGAAGGGGCAATATCAGGAGAATATACAGGTTGAGGGAGAACTTCCAATTCCAACTGGCGCAGTTTTTCAGCAGTGATTCTTGCAGTATGCGGTCCTGCGTTATCATGGTGAAGAATTACGCCCTTCCGATTAATCAGCGCGGGTTCTTTTTCTCTTAAAGCTTGGGCTAACCTTTCCAATTGGGCACTATACACTGCACTTGCAATGGTTTGGTTAGATGGTAAAAGTTCATAATGAAGAATTCCTTTAAAATTCCACCAAACACACATCACTTTTTTCGCATGCAAGTAAGGTTTTGGCGTGGGCTGCGGAGCCTCATTTTTGTCCAACCATTGAGGCCGCCTTTTCAAATTAACATACAGCACCCATTGTTCATCTCCGGTAACAATTTGCTCTAAAAACGGCAAACGGTTTTGACGAGAGAGGAGCGAACTGCAACTTGTGACTCTTTGATTACGGTTGTTGTCTTGTCGGTCAACTCATGAGGAACCCATTTTCCAAACTTTTGGACTTTGCCAAGTGCACGCAATTGATTGGAAATTGTTTTTTGTGAACAATTTAAAGTTGTCGCAAGCTCTTGTGGGTAATTTGAGGATTTTGCACCAAAAGAGCTTGAAGAGCTTCTTGATCAAAATTGGGCACACGGCCTCGACCACTCTTGTCATCTAACGAAAAATTTCCCTCGCGAAATTTCTCAAACCAACGCTGGCATTTTCTGGCGCTAACTGCATCTTGACCAAGAGCACTACAGATGTTTTTTGCAGCCTCACTTGCTTTTCTTCCTAATTGGAACTCTGTAAAGCATGCAGTGCCGAATATGCTCTTCATCCGCCATCTTCTTAGCCCTAGTTTTGCAACAAAAACCAAACCAAACACAAACTTTTTCAAGCAAAACTTGTTAATTGCACTTCACACGTTCTGTAGATACCACGTGTTTGAAGGTTATGTCAATACAAGTCAACGCCAAGCAAGATTTTAAACGAATGTTTAAAAACGACATTAATTATTACTAGACCCGATATGTGCTAAAAACAAAACTACCTAGTTTTATGATTACTATATAATCAAAAATTAAACTTAACAAGATTGAAGATGAAGATGATGAAATACAAAAATTAAGCGTTACCTGCACAATCTTCTCTGGCATCTCCACAGAGAAGGCCATCATTCTCAGGACTTCTGGTTGAGTTCCCATCTGCCACCACACAGTGGAGGATCACTAAACCTTCAAGTTCAAAACAGAACGAAAATAAACATGAAGATTTGAATATTTCCTCAAAGTAAAATACTCTATCAAAATTATGACCCTTTTATAAAAATAACAAGCCTGTGGCTTCCATTTGCAATTCATTATCCCACAGGAAGGGATGTGTACACAAGCCAGCATCTCCTTCTTTTAAGCTAACAGTGCAGAAGACAGAATTCTCAAACCAGCATAACTATGCACCATAAGTAAGGAAACTTGACCATAATTTGTGATAGAAACTTATCATACAAACAGAAAATAGAGTTCTTAGCCACTGGATGAATTAATAAATGAGTTTCCAGTGAGAATGGATGATAAACAATATGGCAACTTACTTTCTCCATTCCACAGAGACCAAATGTTTCTTAAGTATTAACTACTGAGTTCCTTCCTCTTGGAAAGATATGACCTAGACATGCAATTTGTAGGAATTATTTTAAAACTTTGTTTACATAAAACAAATTGATAATTGTTGAAGCTGGGTGGTGGGTATATAAAGAGTCACTGTGTTGTCCGCTCTACTTTTATATATATTTGAAAATTTCTAAAATAAGAACTTGGGAGGGTTTCTAGTAAAGATGGCAGTGTAGATAAATGTGGTACTTGCATCCTCTCACAATCACATAAAAAATACAACTGAACTACAAAACAACAATCATTCAGAACTATCTGAAATCTAGTTGAACAGAAGTCCTATAACTAAGGATACAAAGAAGCCATATTAAGAATGGTGGGAAGGGGGGGGGGGGAATGAATGGCAGGGGGACCAGGGCATAAAATGAGCTAGTCCCACTCACACATGTGGTGGATAAAAAATGAGAAGGATATCTCAGCTATGGTGTTACTTCTTAAGGAGCAAGGGTCTAGCTGCACAACCAGACTCCCAGCCCAGGGTTTTAGTGCTGGGAAAAGAAGTACTCATAATTCTGGCTGTAAAAAACAGTAGGGAGCCAAAACTGGTTTGGCTCAGTGGATAGAGCTTCGGCCTGTGGACTGAAAGGTACCGGGTTTGATTCCAGTCAAGGGCATGTACCTTGGTTGCGAGCACATCCCCAGCAAGGGGTGTGCAAGAGGCAGCTGATCGATTCTCATCGATGTTTCTAACTCTCTATCCCTCTCTCTTCCTCTCTGTAAAAAAATCAATACTATATATATATTTTTAAAAAAGGACAAATGCTATAGTGCCCCAAATACCATATAATTTAAAAACAAACAAACAAGCAATCAAAAAAACAAAAAAACAGTTGGGACTGTGGCTGAGTGAGAAGGCATTCCTCTTAAAGGGCCTACCCATGAACTTACTCAGACTTACTCACTCTGAGCTGCAGGTACAGCAACTTGAAAGGAACCAGGGATATACTGTGATGAAATGAGTTGTCTGGCATCTAGGTGTTGGCAAAGGCCATTGCTCCTTTTTTGAGACACTCCCCACCCCACAGAGCCAGTAGATGGGGGCCATATCTGAGTCTCCAGCAAACTGACTATCACTAGTCACCCGTCCTTGTAATTCCGAGACCCTGTCCCACCAACTTTTGGGCAAACCCAAGTATTTCTAATGGATTTTCCATATAAATGGCCTATCTTGGCTCATTCTTTGGATTCTTAAGAGATTTTTAAATCTCTCAAACAAGCAACAACATCTGACCGCAGCACACCTTGTACCTCTCTCTAAGTAGCCCCAGGCCTGGCCTAGTAGCATCCAGTCTTAGTTCTCAGCTTAATCTCTCCTGAGCACCTCCAAGCCCAGCACAAATAACATCCACTGCAGATCACTCAGTAGCTTGTGCCAGTTAGCCTCAGGCAGAACAGATGGTTGCTGACCTTGGCCTATACCTTCCGGAAGGCCCTGGAGCCAGCACACCCAGTGGACAACTTCAGATCACATCTGGCCTGGTGGGATTGGCCTAAAAGGGCAGTCCGAAATCCCTCGAGGGGTCCCAGATTGGAGAGAGAGCAGGCTGGGCTGAGGGACACTCCTGGCCCCAATTGTGCACTGGTGGGGTCCCTCAGTCTGGTCTATACCTTTTCACAATCCGGCACCCCTTGGGGGATATTGGAGAGCCAGTTTCAGCCTGATCCCATGGGCCAGGCTGAGGGACCTCACTGCTGAACAAATTCGTGCCCCAGGCCTCCAGTTTTGTTATAATGGCCAAAAGTGGCTAGAGAGAGAATTTCTACTTTGCACACTCTGAGACTTGAAATAAATTGTAGTTTATCTAGGAAATAGTAAATGGGTATTAGATTTATGTCTCTGGAACTCTTAAAGAGAAGGCAAAGCAACAGGATCTACATTTGGGAGTCATGGAAAAGAAACTGGTATTTCATGCCATGGAAGTGGGATACTCAGAAAGATCTATGTGAGAATGGAAATATGATTAAGGACAGAATCCTGAAGAACATAAATAAAATAGAGGAGTAGAAAGAGAAACATCTTCAAGTGACTGAGAAGAAGAAGCCACAGAAGTAAAAAGAGAGATTTTTCCTAAAAGAATTTGATCAACAGTGCAAAAAAGATTGATGGAGAATTACAGATAAGAGCTGAAACACAACCATAAAGCACCAGTAATATGTTGCTAGAGAAACAATAGTGGCATGAAGAGGATGCAAATAATTATAGATTATGCTTCAAAGATGTGAAACTGAAGAAGGGAGCGAGAAGACTAGTCAATATATTGATATATAGGAAAACGGTTTTTCTTGTTGTTTCAAATGCGAGAGAAAATGGACAAAAATAAGACAAAGGGATAGAAGAAAGGCCTAGGATGAATTACCAGTAGATGCAGAAAACCTTGGAAAGTTTAGCAGAAAGGCAAGGACTCTCCTCTAATTACTGAAGTCCTCTCTTATCCATAGGAGATGTTCCAAGGCCCCCTGTGAATGCCTGAAACCTCAGATAGTACCAAGCCCTCTATTTTTTATGTTTTCTCATATATATATAACATCTAATTTAGATAGGTACAGTAAGAGATCAATGAAAATAACTGAAAATAAAACAGCTATCACAATATACTGTAATAAAAGTTATATGGCGTTATTAAGTAAAATGAGGCTTACTTGAACACTGCCATATCTGGTCAGTCCATTTAATAATTGAGACAGCTACTAAGTGAACAATGGGTGGGAAGGATGCGCAGTGTGGACACGCTACCCGAGGGGATGCACTGCTCCAGGCAGGATAAAGAAGGAGAGCAAGAGATGTGATCATGCTACCAGAATGGCAAGCAATGAAAAGTCTTTAGAGAATAGAGCTTAAATGTATTTTATATTTTGGATACCTCACCCCATTGTTCAAAGAAATCCAATTCTAGTTTAAAATAAATGGGCACCATCCAATGGGTTTCTCAATTTGCACACTATTGATATTTGGGCTGGCTAAGTCTTCGTTGCAGGAGGCTGTGCATTGTGGGGTTCTTAGCAGTGTCTGTGGCTTTTACCCTCTAAATGCCAGTAGCACCTCTCCTTTCACTCCTAAGTTGTCACAGCAAAAAATGTCTCCATACGTTGCCAAATATCCCTGGCAAGAAAATGTTTGTGGTTGAGAACAACTATAATTCTTCCCTAATTCTTTCAGTACTTTTTATTTTTTTATTGATTTTTCACAGAGAGGAAGGGAGAGGGATAGAGAGCTAGAAACCTCGATGAGAGAGAAACATTGACCAGTTGCCTCTTGCACACTCCCTATTGGGGATGTGCCCGCAACCAAGGTACATGCCCTTGATGGGAATCGAACCTAGAACCTTTTAGTCCACAGACTGATGCTCTATCCACTGAGCCAAACCGGTTTTGGCTCTTTCAGTACTTTTTAATCCAATATATAGCTTTCATTTTGCATCTACTGCTTTAAGTCAATTGCACATAATCAAAGTCTTAAATTTTGACTTCTTAGGGAAAGTACCGTTACTGTGGAAAGATCACCAAACTCATTATAATTCACTATAAAATTTTGAGCTCATTAACAAACTATCCTGACCTTTTCCTCAAGAAAAATTAAAATCATAGGTTCTCTGCCCTTCCCATAATCTAATAAATGTAAATAAAATAAAAATACAGTAACATAGTTTGTAAAGGAACATAATACACTATTATAATAATCATTATCTTTATCAGAGAAGGTATAGATTACATTTTAGAGAAAATATGGTACATAGATATGAAAAACATTAGATTTTCATTTAAGAGAGTCACTAATTATATATTTCAAAATTAGTAAGAATATTAGAGGCATTAAGATCTTTTACCCACTAACTTTCAACTTCCATAAAATCATTTCTTGGGAGAAGTAACCTCTCCCACCTTTATTATTTCAGTACAGAGACTTCACTCTCTTCAAAAGCATTCAATTTCAGTGAGACCATTCCTCCATTCTGTCAATCACATTCATTCATTCAAAAATTTATTAAACAGCTATTTCTAAAGCTTTACAAAGGCATCTTGATATTGACTAGGTTTTTGCCTTCCTGTAATTTTACTCTGCAACATTAGAATCACTTAAAATAAGTGCAATATCTCTTTTTCTTTTTCCATGACAGATCATATATTTGAAACCAGCTATCAAGTTTTCTTGAAAGAATTTCTTTTCTTCAGGCTAAATGCCCTACTTCCTTTAACTGTATTTTACCTGACATCATCAAGACCTTCATAAACTTTGTCACTGTCTCCTAAGTGCAAGGTCAGAATAAGTGTCATTTCACCTGATCTGGCAAAGACAGCATAGATGGGGCACTAAGCCTTCACATTGTGGGCACCAAATTTCTAATAATGTAGCCCCAAGGAGTCAGCTTTTTTGGGTTGCTCCATTAAATACTTGGGGTTCATTTGGGTTATATTAAAATGAAGTTAGATTGTTTTTGTACTGCTGGGAAGCACTGTATTAATGGGATTATTTGTTCTGTTTTGTGTCATTTTAGTTTTTTTCCTAAAAATAAGATTTTATACTTGGCCCTTTTAGATGTTATTGTGTTAGATTTCACTATCATTCA